TGTTCTCCATAAGAAGGTTTTTCCAGTGCCTCCATAGCCATATACAAAAAACATACCACCATGATTACCTTGTATTGTACCCATTATTGAAGAGTACACATGTTTTTGCTCATCAGTCATTTGGGATAAAAGTCTTGCATGTTCTTCAGCCATCTCTTTTTTATCGTAACACAGCTCATCATTGATGAGTCTATTTTCAAAACTATTAAAATAATGTTCTTCGGGATATGGCATGAAAGGATAATCACGCAAGCTCTTTCCATAACTTCGTAACAAACTTTCGATGTCTGCAAGAGCATAGTTTTTGATCTCCTCATCTGTAAGCTGCAAATCTGTAAAACCAAAAGCAAGGATTACATTTGATCTAAAACAATTAGTTGTTAAAATTTGAAAAATTATTAATATCAAACATATACCAGGGTAATGTAATATTTTTCGTTGATGATAAAGAATATCATCAGACAAATAAGTCCAGCACTTTTCCCAAATATCCTCGGGACGTACTAATGACTCAGATGCTAGCAACATTGCAAATAATGTGCGCAAAGATTTCTCTGAAGACCAGTTACTTGCTTCAATTATAGCATCAATGTACTCCTTGTCATCGTCAACCAACCCTAAAGCACAACATGCGTCTCGAAATGTAGGATATACAATGCCATCTACAGTCCTGATATCTTCGAAACTACATGGACCCTTAGCCAAGTTGAGAAGACAACGTAAGTAATATACTCCTCCAGAACCAGGAGGAACATAATACATTCGACCTATTGAAAATCTCTTTTTACGTGGCTCCCATGCTTTCTTGTTTTTTTTCCAAACAAATTCTGTAGGAAACTCAGCATAGGTAAGAAGCTTTGCTCTAGGGTAAGTTTTATTAGCTTCAAACCACGAAAGAAACATGCTATGGTTGATTGTTTTGCGAGCCAAAACACGTTGTAGAGCTACATCTTCGGAAAATACAATGGGTTGTCTGTCAGGCAAATGAAAGCAAAGCCTTTGAACAGAAGGATCCTTAAAATGCATATCAAATGCAAATATCCGCCAGCACGCCTCACACGGTGATATATAACGACAATCATAATATTGCTGCACCTCATTAACCTCATTTTCTTGTTCTCCTTCATTAGGCGTACTTACAAACGAAACAGTCACATGATCATTACCTTTGTTGACATATTTAAACAAATATTTAATCGATCTTGACTGATTACACCACTCCACATTAATATGTGCTTTGTATTTCATCAACAGCTGGCGATTGTGTGGAACAACATGTCTGTTATCTAGAGCAATATTGTTCTTCAATATCGTGCGTTGATTGTCTCGTCGACGATATACTTGGTAGCCATCCTCGTCTAAACAAGTCCTATCAACAAATCTTTTAGGATAGTGTTTTGTGCACCTTCCCTCGGACATGCACGGTGACTGAGGCCTGACAACACCACAAGGGCCATGAACCATAAAGTCGCTAACTACCTCATAATAATCAGGATCAATCATCTTGTCTGGAATTTCTGCACATATAATCTTATCAATGTCATCTGTTGTCAAAACCGAATCTTTGTTGCATATGAACAACAACACATGTGCGTGTGGTAGGCCATGTTTCTGAAACTCAATAGTGTAAATGTTAGACAAGTGTGCAACTCTAGAGGGGGGGGGGTGAATAGAGTTGTTTTCAAGAATGTGCGTTTTTCGCGTGTGTGAAAAAAAAATCGCAGGAATAAATAAAGAGAGTAAGGGAAAGAAGAACACCGAGATTTATACTGGTTCACCACCTCGTGGCTAGTCCAGTCCTCCGAGAGACTCTCTCGAAAGTCCTACTAATCTTCAAGCTTCAACGGGTGCTTGAAAAACCGGTACAACTTGAGAACTTGAATCACACAAGCCTCACTTTCTTACAACAACAAGACTTGAGTCACACAAGTCTTAAGAACAACACTCAAATGAGATTGAGTTTACAACACAGAAATGAAAGCTCACACAATTGAGCAAAGTAGTGTTGAAGAAATAAAGCTCTATGGATGACAAAATCTTTAGCACTCAATAAAATATGTCTAACTCTCAAAATAATATATTTGATGAGGAAGATGGAAGCAAGAATTGAATATTGATCAATGAAGATATTGGAGTGCAAGAGATGTATTTTTAATGAGGGAGGATGAGTGTTTTTATAGGGGAAAAAGAAATAAATCCGTTGGAAGTAGGGAAGAGGTGATTTTGACAGATTGGAGCGTTGG